CTTTGGCCCACATGCTGAGCTCTGGACTTCATGGTTCGGCCCCTCTGTCTCTCCAACGGGACGAGGAAGTCACGGCTGCTGCCGCAAGCACGTCCACGTGCCCCTGGTCAGGGTCTTCTCGCCAAGACTGCTTGGGACACCGCGAACCCCCTCCTCACAACCTCTCATCGCTTCTGGGTCACCGTTCCGTGCCGTTTCACTCTGTAACCATGCGTAGAGACTGTCCTTTATTAACTGACTTCCAGTCTCGAGCGCGTGGCTCACACTGTAATCTGGCACTCTGGGGCGCGGAGGGCGCGCGGATGCTCTGACGGTCAGGACGTTCGAAACCAGTCTGAGCAAGAGCGAGACCGCATCGCTACCTGATAAATAGAACAAGAAATTTAATTGGGCAAGACTATATATAGAGAAAAATTAAGCCGGCAGGTGGCGCATTTCGTGTATCCAGTACGTCGGGGAGGCTGAGGCAGGAGGGATGCTTGAGCCCAGGAGTTTGGAGGGCGTTGCTGTGAATAGCATGACTGGCCTGCACTTCTAATTTTCCCTGGCACACCAACAGGAGACTCTGTCTCAAAAAAAAAAAAAACTAACTTCCAGTATTATTTATTTCAAAATTATGCAAATTCCTTGCCAAAATGTGGAAAACGGATAAGCACATAAGAGGAAAAGTTAACATCACGAGTCACATATCCTCCGGGAGAGTGTGAAACATGTGGTCTCTGTGCATCACTCTGAAGTAGGGACCATGGCTGGGGCCAGCAAAAGCAGGTCACTCCCTCTGCTCTACACAGAGACCCTGTCCACGTGCTGCGGCCCATCCTGCCCTGGAGAGACGGCGGCCAAAGCGCACCGTGGCGGGTCTCAAATTAATCCGAGAAGTTCCTGCTGCTAGATGTGCCCCTCACTGCCGGGGACGCCAGGCAGGACGTGCCCACCCCGGCCCGTGCGCGGGCCCCTCGCCTCGCACTTGGGTGTGAAGCCCCTGGGTGTAAGGACGCCCCTGGTACATCCCAGACACACTCGCTGTGTGTTTTATCTAAACATCCACGACTGGGGACAACAAGCGCAGAGAGACAAGACTGAACCAAACCATACATCTCCTGGTGACAGATTAAGGAAACTGGGGCTTCCAGGTGCTCAGGTCCCACCCGCCCCCCCCCCAGCTGGGGCTGACACCCAGCGTCCCCAGTAGCTCAGGGACCCAGCCAAGCAGCCCAGAGAGTGGCAGCATCCCTTTCCAGGCTGGGCACTCGGGTACCGACTGACTGCTGACCGCCCCCTGGTGCTTATGTTGGGATGCTCACGATTCTGTACCCCGAAATCAGCCCGGCCTATGGAGGAGCCCCATTTGTGGGCCCAGTCCCTGGACAGGCTCCCAGGAAGAACCAAGATTCAAGGGCCGGTCCCTTAAAAATTCCTGAGACCCCCGGCTGTGCAGTCTGCTCTGCATCTGTTTTCTGATTCATGAAGTCGGGATGTTGGGCATCTCTCGAGTCCAGACTCCAGGCAGAGAGCTGGGCAGGTGGGCCGGGGTTGGGACAGGGGTCAGGTCACAGCCACCCCCACAGGCGCCCTCCTTCCCTAGTCTGGGCCCGGGGCCCAACCCGTCCCTCCCTGGAGGCCCACTGTGCCTGTGCACCTGTGAGCGAAAGAGCCCATGAGTGTGCACAGGCAAGCGAGGGTTTGCATGCGTGAGTGCGTGCGTGTGCATATCCAAGTGTGTGCAGGCTTGTGTATGCCCACTGATAGGTCCACCTCCAGGCTCCTCGGAGCCAGGCTGTGACTCACGTGCCAGCTGGGTGTGGCTGCTGCTCTGCACACACCTGGAGAATTGAAGCCAACAGGAAGTGTCAGCTGGGCACGGTGGCACACGTCTGTAATCCCAGCACTCTGGGAGGCCGAGGCAGGTGGATCGCTCAAGGACTGGAGTTCGAGACCAGCCTCAGCAAGAGCGAGACCCTGTCTCTACTAAAAATAGAAAGAAATTAATAGGCCACCTAAAAATATATAGATAAAATTAACCAGGCGTGGTGGTGCATGACTGTAGTCCCAGCCTCTTGGGAGGCTGAGGCAGGAGGATCATGGAAATTCCAAACAGATTTTTAAAGATTAATTTGAGACACCAAGGAAATAAAATTTAAAAAGGGAAAATGCAATAAAATAACGTGGCTTTGAAGAATGAAGCTTCTCTTTTAAAATACACCAAAAATCAGACATTGGAGAGAAGGATGGACACTCTACTCCACCCCACACACAGAGACCTGTGCAGGACAAAAGAAACTCCATGCAAGGTGGAAAGGCAATCCAGGAAAGGGACAATAATATTTAAACATTTTATGCATGATCTGGATTCTGTGATCAATGAAGAACTACAACAGTGAAGGGAAGGAAAACAAGAACAACTCAACTAACACAGAAATGGTCGAAACACCAGAACAGGCGACAAAGACGTAAGGGCAGAAGCCACAGGAGAAATAGTGAAAAACCCACAATTCCGATGCAGAACAGAAGAGTGAGGTACCATTTTCAGCCATCAATGAAGCAAAATGAAAAATTCAGTTCCCGCAGTGCCTGGCAGCTGGGGCCCTGGGCCCCGCTCTGCAGGGGGAGGTGGGAGCTGCTCCCACCACTCCCGGGAACCTGCTGCTCCGGGGCCTGCCCCAGCACCTGGGGGGTCCCCACACTCGGCCCTCAGTCTTGGTGTTCAGTGGACATGTGCCCAGAGCGTCCTGGGAACCGTCCCCCAACTTCACCCAAAGGAGAAGCAATGTCCCTGGCAAGGGACAGGCATGGAGACGAGACAAATGGTGGCCGGTTTTTTGGTCTCTTTCCCCATGTTGGTGAGGCGTGTGGAAGCAGAGCTGAGACCTGGACCCCCTTCCGTGTGGACCTCGAGGCTCCACCTCCAGGGCCCAGCCTGGCAGCATGGGGGCCTCGGGCCAGGAGCCACCGTCGGTCTGTCTCTTGTCACAAGTGGATTTTCAAACTGTTTCAGCAGAATATTTAGTTTCTCAACCTGGTGTCTTTGAAAACTGAAACCAACAAAGTTAAGAGTCTCTGTGTGTTAAGAAACTATCAGGTTTTTGTTTCTTTATGTTTTGTTATATCTTTTCCCTGGTTCAAACCTCAAATCCATTGGACATGCTTTCAGGCTTGGGGTGGGTCCCAGCAGAGAGGTCTGGGCCCAGGTGGGTGCGATTGGGAGGCTCCTAGACCACCTGGGCTGGGGAGGGCACTGGTTCACCTAGGCCCAGCTTGGCTGGGAGGAGGAAGGGGTTTCAGGTGCCCACAAGCTGCTAAAACTTGTAACCTCACCCAGTGGTCTAGGTAACGGTTGTCAAACTGCAGCGTATCAGACATATCTGGATGGTTTAAAAATATACTGATGCCTGGATCCCACTGGAGAATTCTGATATCACTGCTATAGGTGGATGTTAGTTTTCTATTCTTGTATAGCAAATTACCAACCCTTAGTGGCCTAAAACAAAACACATTTGTTATTTCCCAGTATTCATGGGTTATCCCTGGGCCACGGCTTGGCTAGGACCCAGATCAGACTCTCACCTGGCTGCAGCCCAGGTGTCAACCAGGCTGTGCTCAGCCTGTAAAGAACTTCAACAAAGCAACAGCAGAGAAGGAACCCACGGTTTTCACACGCAGGACAGCACCCAGCCCCGGGTTCTGCGAAGGGACGGCTCCCTGGGGTGGACGCTCCCTGCACAGACCCCAAGCGGAGCTCGAGTCCCCCCAGCCCCCAGGGAGCAGACTTCCCGGAGGGCTCCTGCCCCCTGCGCTGCACGTGGCCCCACTTGAGGCAGTTGGTGACTCAGCACTTTCTCTTCTTGGAAACTGAGGCTCATGGGAGATATGCAGATGAGCTCAGGGCACCATGGGAAACAGCCTTATATATGCCCAGGCGGCTGCGGCTCCCTATTTCCTTGGTGCCCGCGGGAGCTGAGGCGTCAGTGCGGGTGAGGGGCTCCCAGGGAGGCGTCTGGGGCCCGGCCTGGCGCTGGGCGATGGGTTGAGAGGCCTGAGCGCCACAGTGGACCCCCTGGTGCCTCGGGCCAGCTGTGGGGGTGGGGCTGGGAAGAGTTTCCCTCAGGCTGTGTTGGGTTCCCTCATGTTATGTTGGCTTCCCCCGGGGTCTGTAGGTTCTGTCTGCTTCCAGCAGGTTCTGTCGGGCTCCCTCAGTTTCTGTCGGGTTCTAGCAGGTTCTGTTGGGCTCACTCAGGTTCTGCCTGGTTCCAGCAGGTTCTGTCGGGCTCCCTCAGGGTCTGTTGGTTTCTAGCAGGTTCTGTTGGGCTCCCTCCAGGTCTGTCAGACCAGGCTCACTGGGAGGTGGGGGTTCAGCTGACGTGTCTGGAGCAGGTTGGTGGGGGATGGGGGTTGAGGGACCCCAGCCCCAGCGCAGTTCAAGCTGCGCAGGATCTTCACGGGGCGTCTGAACCCCACACCCCCACCCTGCTGAGCCAAGGAGACCCGCTCCCCCCTACTGCTGGGGACCCTAACCCCCCTCCCTTTGCCTTTGCAGCTCCCAGACCCTAGAGCCATTGCAGAAGCTGAAGAAATTTCCAGAAGTTCAGACTTCCCCACCTCTGCAGGTCCCCACTGAGCTGGACCCAGTACATCCACCCCCACCCCAAGTGCCTGGACAAAAAGCCCTGTTCTCTGCTTCCTCCTCTTTCTCCTCTGCTTTTCCCTCCTGCTCCCCATCCCTGTCAGCCCTGCCCCCAGCATCTCACTGGCCCCAGCCCTGTGGCCAGACTTCCTGCACCCCCAGCAAGCCCTGCTCTTGCCGTCCACCCCGCTAGGAGGAGGCGACGGCCTGGCCATGTGCCCCCCAGTCACCGTGCGATATTCGCAGCAGGGCATGTCCTACCTCTACGCTGCCTGGCTGTATGAGGTCCAACACGGAAACCCACTCAGGCTGTGCTTCACTTGCTTCAGGTATACCTTTCTGGACCTTAAATACCTGTTGGAGGTGGGAGGCTTTGAAGATGAGGACTCGGACTCTGAGCTGATGGAGGACACTGAGGCAGGGGCTGAGCAGGAGGGGGCCTCAGGGACGGGGCCAAGCTGGGAGCAGGGCCCAGGACAGTCTGTGTCAGGGGACTCTCAGGCTGGGGGGCAGGGTACCCTGGCATCAGGCCCACAGGTGGCAGAAGAGGCCGCCCTGAACGATCACTGGGGGTCACTTATTCCCGTGGATGCTGACTGGACCCAGGCCCTTCCCTGGAGATTTGGCCAACTTGCTGCCTGCACACACTGGCCCAGCTGCATTCCTTCATGGCACCAGTTTCTCAGTGCGAAGCTGTCTCCAGGGGAGCCCATGGTGTTGGAGGTGAGACCCAGGTGCAAAGCAGACCCTGCGAAGACTGAGGCCTGGTTACTGGGCCTGAAGGTTTTCTCAATGATAGGCTGCTGCTATGCTGCCGCCTACCTCCGGAAGATGACTCCACGCAGGGTCCTGTGGACCCCGGAACAGCACTGGAAAGTGTTCCTGGACCCTAAGGACGTGTGGACGGTAAGACTCGAAGATATATCCCCAGAGCTAGACCTGGACCGGTGGAAGCTGAGCTTTCTGGATACCTCTGTACGCAATGTATGGCTGATTCCCGCAGAAACAGCCCTGATCCGGAAGGAAATGACCATGGTCTCCTTTTTACCCTGGAACAAAAGGGAGACAGAGGACAAGGACGCAGCCTCTGAGCCTCAGTCCTCCACCCAAGGACAGGAACCCAGCACCACCGAGACCTGGAGCAGTGAGCCCAGGGGGGCAGGAGCAAGCCCGGCTGTTGGGGGAGCTTCCGCTATGGGGGAGCTGTCCTGTTTCCAACCTCTCAATCCAGGGCCCCAGAACTGAGGGACAAAGACCCAGGTGACCACCTTTGTCCTGGCTACCCCAGGACACTGATGTCTAGGACAGACTGGCAACTACTCCGCCACTACAGCCAGCGGAGCAATTGGCAACAGATGGGGACCTCTGCTTGTGTAGGAAATACTGAGCTCTGGGCCCTCCGTAGCCTGAGAGGGAAGTGACACCAATGCCCATTACTGTGGGATAGGTTCTTACCAGATGACTGTCACATCATTGGGGACATGACAGTGACCTGGACATGCTGGTGTGGCTGGTTCCTGTGCTGCATCACAGTGGGGAACGGGAGACAGGACCCTGCACCAGCCCCGCCCTAGCCACACAGAGGGGAGCCCCTTATGGAACACTCACTTCCTGGAACATTCCAGACTCTCCGGAGCGGCCCAGATGTGTGCCCAGCTTTGCCTACATCCTCTCTGGGGTGCCACGAGGCCCTGTCATCGGCACTGGAGACAGTAGCCTGCATCGGGAAAAGCTGTTTTCAAATGTTGGCCATTTATGCGGTTTCTTTAGTTCTGTTTTTTTTTATGTTGTTTTTAATTAAATAAAGTCATAGTTTTTCACCAAGCCCTTGTTCAGAGCTCTTTCTCAGAAAACACTGGTTTCCTGGCCTCCTGCTCTTCTTGCCTGGGACAGATCCATCCAGGCAGTGCCGGCCTCGCCGGTCACAGAGGGCCAGGATGACGACGAAATTCCAGCTTCTGGGTTAGTGACCAGGTCTGGCCCTTTCCTTTTTTAATACCTGGAAGAGGGAAAACATCGGACCATGTGTTCTCACTCCCGACCCCTCCTACACTAAAAACTGCAAATCCGACTGATCGCCCAGCCTGGTTTATGGAACTTGGAACCCAACAACATACACCAGTGTCCTGGTGTAACATCAAGAGCCACAGGGATCTTTGGGTGTGTAGAATGTCGGTAAATCGCAAAGTTGACATTTCACACCCGGGTGCAGAGGTGTTGGTGATTGGTGCTGGGAACCCTCCATCCCTGGATGTTTATTGATCAACCTACTCAGCACTGTGCGCCGGCCCAGGCACGGAGATAGGTCCGAGCACAAAACGGGGGAGCTCTGTGGGGTGGAGCCTCCATTCTAGGAGGGAGGCGTGATGAACTGACAGAGGCTGGATTAGGTTGTGCGTGTAGGGGATCAGAAGTGCCAGGGAGGTGGCGCCTCTGAATCTAACACCGTCCAGGAGTCCTGCTGCCAATGCCCCTTACTCCCGCCCTGCTTCCTATTCCCATTCACTTTGCCCGAGTAGTGAGCTCCGTTACTTGTTGGTGGCCTCTGTCCTTCCAAGGGACGAGGAAGTCACGGTGTGGAAGCACATCCACGTGCCCTGGTCAGGTCTCTTACCAGAGCTGTGGGACAACCGGAACCCCCTCCTCACCCCTCTCATGCTCTGGGTCACCGTTGTGGTAGTCACGTTGTAACCATGCGCTTAGAGACTGTCCTTTTAAAACTAACTTCCAGTTTTGTTTTTTTCAAACCAATGCAAATGCATTGTGAAAATGTGGAAAACAGATAAGTACAATAGAGGAAAGTTAATATCACCAGTCACATACCCTCCAGAAAGTGCGAAACGTGTCGTCTCTCTGCATCACTCTGAAGTAGGGACAATGGCGGCAAGAGAGGCAGGACCGGGAGGGCCCGTGATACCCAGCTGTGGTGGCCAGCTCTGTCTGGAGCCCTCTTGGAGCGAGATCTCTCCTGGGTGGGTCCAGAGCCCAGTTGGCGTCCAGGGTTCCCTGTTGCTCCCAGAGTCTCTGACTCCCCCAGAGGCCCAAGGAGCTGCACAGGAGCAGACGGGTGCTGGGAGTCACGAGCCTTCCCTGGAAGGGGCAGGGGTGACGATGCTGCCAAGCCTGGGCCCTGGAATCTGTGCGCACATCCTCGACGTTCTGCACACACATCTGCGGATAACCCAGTTCCCCTTAGGAGTGGGTTCCAGGCAGGCAGGGATCAAGGGAAGGGGTGGGGGCACCCATGCAAGACCCCAAGGAGCAGAGCCCCTGACACCCAGGTGGGGATTCTCTTCAACAGCAGCAAGGGTGCAGGCTGCCCTGTGAGGCCAGCAGAGGCCCAGCTGGAGAAGGGTCTTTGGCGTGGCTCTGAGCAGCCCCGTGTAGCCGGGGGGACTCTTGTCTCCCCGGTTGAGAAGCCAGAGAGGAAGGGTGGTCAGGTGGCCCTGCCCCATGCCAGACCTTTGGAAACGCTGCCCCCTGGACAGCCTGAGCCCTGCCAACCTCCTTGGCCTGACCCAGCTTAGAAAGGCCTGTGAAGGGCCAGTTACGGTGGCTCAGGGCTATAATCCTAGGGCTCTGGGAGGCTGACGGGGGAGAGTCGCTCAAGGTCAGGTGTTTGAAACCAGCCTGATCGAAAGTGAGACCCTGTCTCTACTAAAAATAGAAAGAAATTAATTGGCCAAATAAAAATACATAGAAAAAAAAATTAGCCATGGTGGTGCATGCCTGTAGTCCCAGCTACTTGGGAGGCTGAGGCAGGAGGATCGCTTGAGCTCAGGAGTTTGAGGTTGCTGTGAGCTGGGCTGACACCACGGCACTCTAGCCCAGCCAACAGAGTGAGACTCTATTTCAAAAAAGAAAGAGAAAAAAGGACTATGAAGACCCCACCTCCTTCCCTCCACAGCTGCCTTTTTCCCGAGACACCCGGGATTTGGGTGCTTTCGGGTTGGAGGCCACGGGAACATCCCCCAATGTCCTGGGGTCCTGACCTTGGAAACCCCCAGGCGTACATGTCCCCCCAGACTCTCCTTCCTGGCCTTCCCCACATCACACAGGGGTCAAGGCCAGCGTGGGTGCAAACCCAAGCCTGTCGGTCCACAGCGGCTCCCAGGCCCCTGCATGTGCCGTTCATAGGCCTGCGGCAGCTGGTGTGACCCACAACCTGGGGGGCGTGGAGGGGGTCCCTGGGCTTCAGCAGATGCAAAGTACGGACGAGACCGAGGCCACCCTCCTGCCCTCTCCTCTCTCCTTGCAGGGCGCCCTAACGTACTTAGGATTCATGCTTAAGGGTTGGAGGAGGGTGGGCGCGGTGGCTCACGCCTGTAATCCTAGCTCTTTGAGAGGCTGAGGCGGGTGGATCTTTTGAGCTCAGGAGTTTGAAACCAACCTGAGCAAGAGCAAGACCCCCCCCGACTCTACTATAAATAGAAATAAATTAATTGGCCAACTAATATATATAGAAAAAAATCAGCCGGGCATGGTGGCGCATGCCTGTAGTCCCAGCTACTCGGGAGCCTACTTCGGGAGGCTGAGGCAGAAAAGGGTGCTGAGCCAGGAGAATTTTGAGTTTTGCTGTGAGCTAGGCTGACGCCACGCACTTCACCTAGCCTTGGCAACAAGAGTGAATAAAACTCTGTCTCAAAAAAAAAAAAGCCAAGAACTAGACATTTCATGGCAAATCAGAGCCATCTCACTCCAGCTCACCCCTCCCCCGCCACACAATGAAATAACACATTTTGGTGAAAACCAGCTTTAAATATTTATTCCATTTAACCTGTTCGTTTTTTTTTGTCTTTTTTTTAATTTTTTTTTTTTTTTTTTGAGACAGAAAGTCTCGCTTTGTTGCCCAGCTAGAGTGAGTGCCCGTGGCGTCAGCCTAGCTCACAGCAACCTCAAAACTCTTCTGGGCTCGAGTGAAAATCCTCCTGCCTTCAAAAGCCTCCCGGTACTGGGAACTACAGGCATGCGCCACCAGCCGGCTAATTTTTATATATATTATCAGTTGGCCAATTAATTTCTTTCTATTTATAGTAGAGACGGGTCTCGCTCTTGCTCAGGCTGGTTTTGAACTCCTGACCTTGAGAATCCGCCCGCCTCGGCCTCCCAAGACTAGGATTACAGGCGTGAGCCACAGCGCCCGGCCAACCTGTTCGTTTGAAGTCAGAGCAAAACCAAAGTTGTGCAGAGGGCGTGACTGGGAGGTTGGGACTTGGGCCAGCAAAGGCCACGTCTCCTCTGCTCCCCACAGGTGCCTTTCCTGGGCTGCGGCCCGTCCTGCCCTGGAGAGACGGCAGCCAAAGCGCACGGTGGCCGGTCTCAATCAATCCGAGAAGTTCCGCGCTAGACGTGCCCTCACTGCCGGGGAGCCGGCAGGACGTGCCACCCGGCCGTGCGCGGGCCCCTCCACACTTGGTGTGACCCCCTGGGTGTAAGGACGCCCCTGGTACATCCCGGACACACTCGCTGTGCGTTTTATCTAAACATCCACGACTGGGGACAACAAGCCGCAGAGAGACAAGACTGAACCAAACCATACATCTCCTGGTGACGGAAAGATTAAGGAAACTGGGGCTTCCAGGTGCACTGGATTCCCCCCACACACACAGCTGGGGCGGACACCTGGCGTTCCCCAGGGCTCAGGAACGGCAAGCAGCCCAGAGGCGGCAGCATCCCTTCCGGGCTGGGCACTCGGGTGCCGACTGACTGCTGGCCGATACCGCCCCTGGTGGTCACTTAGGGACGAGTGGATGCTCACGCTTCTGTACCCAAATTCAGTCCGGCCTACAGAGGAGCCCCACTCGTGGGCCCAGTCCTGGACTGGCTCCCAGGAAGACCAAGAATCAAGGGCCGTCCTTAAAAATTCCTGAGGCTCCGGCCTGCACAGTCTGCTCCGCGTCTGTTTTCTGACCCGTGAAGTCGGGATGTTGGCGGTCCTCTCGAGTCCAGAGTCCAGGCAGAGAGCGCAGGTGGGCCGGGGCTGGGACAGGGGTCAGGTCACACCGCCAGCAGGTGCCCTCCCTCCCTAGTCCGGCCCTCGGCCGTCCCGCCCTGGAGGCCCACTGTGCATGTGCACCTGTGTGTGACAAAGCCCATGAGTGTGCACGGGCGAGGGAGGGTTTGCACACGTGAGTGCAGGCGCATGCGTGTCCAGGTGTGTGCACGCATGTGTGCTGCTGACGGCTCCACCTCCGGCTCCTCGGAGCAGGGCTGGTGTCAGGTGCCAGCCGGCGTGCTGCTGCTCTGCACACACCTGGAGAATTGAAGCCAACAGGAGTGTCGATGGGGAATCTCATTCTCGCACCTTGAGGGGTGGAGCAGCCGCCCAAGGCAGGACCGCTGGGGAGAGAACCAGGACCGTGGCAGCAAAGGCCACGTTTGGGCCGATCACTGGGGACATTCTGTTTCTGCCAGCTGTGTTCCCACGGCTTCTAGAAGGCACCTGAGCTACCGTGCAGGTACAAAGCCCAACAACTGCAGTGTTCTCTCCGTCTGTGGTCCAGGCCTGGCCCTCATGTCTTCACCTGCGGGACCCCACCGCCGCGTTTCACCGTCCTCTCCCCACCCCTTCCTCTTCCTGGGAGCTCACTACCTATGCGCACCTCGCCGCCCCAGGACACACTCATGACCCTGGCCTCCGGGTCCTGCTCCAGACACATGCTCCACTCACTGTCCCTCTGCCAGCCCTCCTCCCACCTGCCTCATTTAATCATCTGTGGTGCTGCCCTGCCAGCCATAGAAACCCACTCCCC